TCGTAGCTGAAGGACGAAAGATGAAGATCTCAGACTTTGGCCTTTCCAGAGATGTGTATGAAGAGGACTCATATGTTAAGAGGAGCAAGGTAAAGAATAGAGACAGAAAACTAGAATAAATAAATTTTGGTGCATTTACAACAATCTTTTGAATACAAATCAGTAATGTCTATCTCTGTTTTCCAGGGCCGCATACCTGTTAAATGGATGGCAATAGAGTCCTTGTTTGATCACATTTACACAACACAAAGTGACGTGTGAGTACAATCATCATATAAAGGGGGATGGTTTTATCATGTTGGGAAATACACTTATTTGCTTTCTTGCTGAGAGTTAGATGAGAAGATTGATGCCACTCTTTTGTATGGTTTGTGAATGTCAAGCTACAAGTAGTTTAGTTTAGCATAAAGACTGGAAAGACAGGGAAACAGCTAGTCTGGCTCTGTCAAAAGGTAATAGTAACACTCACTCATTAACATGTTATATCCTATTTGTTGAATTTGTAGTAAAAACAACAATCTGTGGTTTTACAGGAAGTTACTGCTTCAGCCCAAGAAATAGTTCACCACATAACCCCTCATAAAAACCACAATGTTCTACTTACATTTTGCTGTTTTTATGTATTAAATTAGATAAAGCATGTGACCTTAGTGACCTTTAGGGGTGTTGGTAAGCAGAATCTGTTACCTTCAGACAGAGCCTGGCTAGCTGTTTCTGCCTTTTTCCAGTCTTTATGCTAAGCTAAGAACTTGCTGGCTGTTACTTCTTATTAAACGGACAGAATAGTTAGAATAGTATTGATCTTCATAACTGTGGGCAAGAAAGTGAATAAGGGTATTTCTCAAAATGCTGAACTATTCCTGCAAGCAATTACACAGATTATTCCGTTCTCTATTTTCTTTTTTTTATTCTTATGAGCTCCTGTTTTTGTTTCCAGCTGGTCCTTTGGTGTGCTGTTGTGGGAGATAGTGACACTGGGAGGAAATCCATACCCAGGTATCGCTCCTGAACGCCTCTTTAACTTGCTCAAGACTGGCTACAGGATGGAGAGACCAGAGAACTGCTCTGAGGAAATGTGAGCCCCACTCTGTTACTTTAAAGCACCTCCTCATTTCTCCTGAGTGCAATAACTCTCCTCGACCACATTAAGATAGTCGTGGAAAATTACTGTTGGGAGGATTCAATGATACTTTTTTCACCCAACTTTTTCCTCTGCAGGTATAACCTCATGCTTCGATGCTGGAAACAAGAACCAGACAAGAGGCAGACATTCTCAGACATCAGCAAAGAACTGGAAAAGATGATGGTGAAAAGTCGGGTATGGTGAAGCTATACATTGTAATAAGTTATTCATATTCTTTCACAGGAAAGGAGTGAGGAGAAACTATTAATCAGTCTATTTCTGTGCATTACTCGCACATTTTTGACAAAACTTCTGTGATGCATCATTGAGGCTGACAGCCTGATGTTAAAGTTTTTTGATTCCCCTCCTTTTGGATTTTGCAACTGGCCCAAAATAAGCACCATATCATTTATGCTGAACAACATAACATATACACTGCCTCACTGTCACTTGTCCTAACTGCTTTAAATACCATAATTAGTGTTTGAAGAGCAATCCTAAAATGTGGCCTTGGGCAGCGTAATCACAGGGCATCCCAGTCAGGCCCCTGCTGTTGAAGTGAGGCTAAATATAGAGCATTTAAGGACAAGACAATGCAGGCATGCCATAATACAGCAGGCTAGTTCTCCACTGTTGTAAAAAGGCATGTCACTTGATGTAATGAGTAGAAAGTATTTGCACACATTTTCCTCCGGATCATTGTCAGTGGACAACGTCACTGCACTGAATGTATCTGACCTTTAGCTTGAGCGCACTTGGCCTTAGTGTGCTGTGACTTCTCTCCTCAGTAATCAGCCTAATGGCAGCTTCATCTGTTCTTGTCAGGATTACCTGGACCTGGCTGCGTCCACGCCAGCTGATGCCCTGCTGTACGACGACGCCCTCTCTGAAGAGGACACACCACTAGTGGACTGTAATAACGCCCCTCTCCCTCGAACCCTTCCCTCCACATGGATTGAAAACAAGCTCTATGGTAGAATCTCCCACGCATTTACTAGATTTTAGAAACAGGACACACAACACAAGCTCTCTTTTTTGGCAAGTTGTGATTGGCTTTTCCATAGTCAAGTGTGTTTGACTGTGACCTAGGCATGCCTTTTGCTGATTAATGCTGACATATCTCCCATTTCATCGTAAATGAGAGGCTCAGTGAAAAAAAGATCTTGTGTCTTGACTGTTTTGTTTTATTTGGACCTGCTTCTAATGTACATGAATTCTGACCAAAAATGCTATATTTGTAAATATTGGATCTACCCTTCATTCTAATTTATATGGCACTGCTCATACTCACGCGTCATCTGCATTTTTATTTAACATAACATTTCCATTGTCATCATTTCATTAGTTGTTTGCATTGGAAGAAACAGTGTGTAACATTTGAAACAGGTCCTCACTCAATCAATAACTCACTGTGTTTTTTTTTATTCCAGATGTCTTAAATTTCCTGACTTTCTAATGTATATTAGCTATTAATCTATAATGATTTCACAATTCTGAACAGAGAAACAGTAAGGCTTTTGAACACAACTCTCAGGTGACACTGATTAAAAGTAAAGAACATATTGGACTAGTTAGTTGTTGTCTATATGTATTTCTAAACAGTTATAGAAAGGCAGCCATAGGCCAAGAATGGGGCAATGAGAAACATTAGAGCCTTGATACATTACAAAAAATCCAATGAATAATAAATGATGTGACGTTTCACTTTATGTAGGCAATACAGAGTTTGATTTGAGAGCCTTACTGTCTGCACGCTGTTTATCTTTCACTGAGTGCAGAAAAATGATGTGTTCTTATTTTTAGGCATGTCATACCCGAACTGGCCCGAGAAGAGCCCGGTACCGCTCAACAGACATGATGCCACTAATCCAGTCTTTACAAGATATGCCAATGATAGTGTTTATGCAAACTGGATGGCTTTGCCTTCACCCGCAAAAGCTGTGGACAAGCTTGATAGCTAAAGACAAACCAACACTGTAGAAAAGATGACTAATTGGTAGATGTGTATATTTCTATAAGACTGTACATATACAATCTGATGCTAAAGTTGGTTCCCTTTTATTTCTGTTGCACGGGTATTCAGCGTTTAAAACTGGGGTCTTTTTGCTGTAAAGGTGGCTGGATCAATATAGACCACGCTTCATTCAGCTCTTCAGTATGTTAATTATTACCTCACGGGTCATGTTGGCCAAGTTGTACCACTGCATGACTATTGTAACAGATTGTATGCCAGTGTCAATGTCTTTTAAGTGCCTGTGCCGCTTCTACAATAGCCTCCAATTACTAATGTGCGACTGTGAAGATCTTATTCCAGCCCAGGAATTAAAGGGGACGTCTTTACCATCACCTGTTGTAGACAGCTGGGATTGAGTGAACAAAAGCAAAATGCTGAACTTGTCCTGAAAATGTAAAGTTTCTACTTTAGAGGATTGTGCTCCTCAAAATGACCCATTTTGTGTTTCTCCCACAAGATGTTTCAAAACTGTTCTTGCCAAAGAAAAGTAATGCAGACATGTTCAGTGAACAGTTTTCTTGTTTTGTTCTTGTTTTTTACATGGGAAATATCAACTAGTAAGTGCTACTCCAGTGTAATGAGACTTAATGTAGATTGTGACCATGTCCCGTGTCAGACTACAGTTTACTTTTTGATTCACTGTAATGGGAATATTTGTGGAAAAAGTATGATTATGTAAACTAATCAGTGTTATCATTATGTTGTTATTATTTGATTATGTTCCAATTAATAATAAACTCAAAATGTGCAGTATGTTTGTTCACGTCATGTCTCTAAAAAATAGACAGATAAAACTTCTGTATGTGATTATGTGATTCTTTTTTACAATTTACGAAATGGATGTCTGGTGGTTCACATAAATTATTCTTTTAATAATATTACAACATGGTGTTTAGCCACAGTTAACCTCCAAACATGATTTGTTCATTATACACTCTAGTTCAGAGCAATATTTATTTCTAAATTATTAATTAATATTTGCAGTAGAGGCTGGGAAGCACTGGTCCACAGAAGCCACTTCAAGTGTAAATATCCATTGTTGCAGAATAATGCAAATTTTGCGTGCCTATTCCATTTTCACTGACTCTCAATTCTGTTTCTCGCAAATATCTAATATTGAGAAGCTGATAAAGCTTTTATTTTCTCAGCTTTAAGTGGCAGAGATTTGTGTTTCAGTGAAACAGTCAGCTGGATGACCCCTTTGTTACTGAACACTATCTGTCAAAAAATTTAAAAAAACAGTTGTTTAAAGTATTAAATATTGATTAAAATAGCTATGTGACCTGTCCATGGCTTTCCACATCCAGACTCATTTCATCCTTAATGGGAATTAATAAAGGAAATGGATAAATGACTAAAAATAGAACGTTGTGGAAACATGTCCTGGTTTACTTTATGCACCAACGTGATAACAGATCCCATATATAAAACATTAAACAAGTGGTCTGTCTCCACTTCAGTGGTATTTCAATTAAGAGCTGTGTATCATCAGTGTTTCATCACAGACAGATAAGATAGTTGTTTTAACAGTTGGGACAGAGAAACACAAAAACGTAGTTAATGAAAAGAAGAAAAAACACCTCTGGGGACTTGTGAAATTCTTGTTATCATCTACGATAAAGCTTCCTTTGAATAAACAAATCAATCTTGTAATTAATATTTACAAGAGATATGTTTAATTTTGTTTATGTATAGATTAAACATGGGGAATGAAAATATAGTCTTCAGAAGCCTGTAAAAATAATAATAATGTTTTTATTAATTATATTAAATGAATAATAAAAACCTTATTATTATGAAGAAGGAGTTCCAGCGTGTTTTATGACGACACTCGTTATCAAAGTTCCCATTGGTTCGTTTGTGGCCGGAAGTAGACTACGACCCACTCTTTTCTCTGTGCTCCGTGGCATTTTGCGACACAGGCAGTCTGTCGCTGCAGGTTTTATACTAAACCCACGGCTGTAAGTACAGGCAGGGATGGACAAAGACGAGATTAGGTGAGTAGTTAGTTTTATGCTACTATAACTTCCAAGCAGGCTATCTAACGGTTATAAAATAACGTGAAAACGTAGTGAAGCGCTCAACCTCGCTAAGCTAGCCGCAGAACATTGGTAATATCCGGTTTGAATTTTGAAAGTAAGTGTCACAATTTCCACTGGTAAATGTTGCTGTAATTTGGACAGATGTTAAACTATGGGGCAGTGTGCTGAGTAGCAACAACAAAACCTAAAATACAGCACATTTGTTGTCATCACCAAAGTATGTACATGATACAGTTTGAATCCCAAACTTTAATTAAAACTCAGTGTAAAGCTGTAGTCTACTTTAGCTGTAGAGGGGTTTTTTTTCAAATTAAAACACAATAAAATAATCAGATACGTTGAGAGATGTTGTGCAGAGTGTCATGTCATGTAATTGTGAATACAACTCCCTTTTATCTGCTTAAGTAGTAACAATTAAGTAAATTCCCTGGAACTCATGAGTCCATGTTGATGTATGAATGAAGAAAGATAAAGCTAAGACATGTTTAGGATATTGTTTATTATGCTGAGTAAGCAGCAGATCCTGCTTGGCTTTAAAAGTGAACAGACTGCAGAATTTAATATGTCCCTTACATTACAAAGCAGACATCCCCCCCAGGTAGTTCAGTGTGAACAAATAATCCCACGGGTTAATTGAACACTACTGAACTTTACACTCTGTAAGCTGAATATCTGTCTCTGTTTGCGTGACCATATTTGTACAAACGTACTCATGTTGCAGAGTGTGAGTTCCTTTTGGAAGTGTGAAGGGGTTCTGTTAACATCTGCTTAAAAACAAGCTGTTGTCAGTAACGTTGATACAGTTTCTTCTCTTTTTATGACAAGTTAAAACCTTGAGACTTAATCAGCAGAATGGCCCTATGTTAAATATTTTTATGTCATAGTTATGATATCCAAAATGTGCAGTCAATGTCTAGTAAAAAAAGTCATTTTTTATTAAGTATTTACATTAGCTTTTTGGCAAATTAACATTAAACTGCTGGGTTTCAGTATAGATCAGTGGTTTCCAGTTCTGGCTCTTTGGACTCGTCAGGAGCCGTGCTGGTTTTCATTATAGCTGTCTTGAAACTGATTTACACCTGTGGGGCCAGGTGAAGACTATGAATGTCAAGGTAGAAAAACAGCGTTACTTTGTGTGCTGAGAGCAGGCGCTGTAGCTTTTACTGTGTGACCTTCAAGAAACAATTGTGTGTGGTATGTAGTAGTTAGGAGGAGGTGCGAAAGCTCCACTGATATCAGACTGAAGAAGCCAATCAGAACAGAGATATAGGAATGACTTAAGAGGCCTTGTATGACGCCACAGGGTGATCAGGAAAACAACCTTGAATACGGTTGTGGTTTAAACTATTTTGTCATCTTGTTGTATCCTTTCATTCCTCAATGTAAGTGTTCTGGAGAGTGTCGTGCTTTTATTTTGAAAAGAGAGCAGTTAAAGCGGAAGTCAGCCTTTAGTAACTTGCTGTGGATCTCACTCACCAGATTTCCACTGTGCTGTTGTTTGGCTGAAAGCTAGCTAGCGTGTGCTAGCTCCCCAGGTGCAGCTAATTCACTGTTTTCTTCAGGTTCCAGTTAAATCTTGTATGTGTGAAATATTTGTAGAAGTTGGACACACATTACAAAACACAACATGGTACAGAAAAATATTTTATTCACTGACCGAATGAAATTGTGGCTGTCAGATCTGATTGTTGATCTCCAATGTTTTAATCTGAACCAGACTTATCAAAAAGTCTTCACAAATGGCTTCTTGTAAAGTAAAAGATTTTTGTCGTATTGTGGATTTCTGTGATTTCCCCTAGGTGATCATCGCATGGATTACACAGGATAACTGTTTTAAGACACTGATAGGTTGGAGCCAAGAAATAAGACCTTTGCAGTAAAATGAAACACCCTTTCAAACATCTGAGATGATGTGAAGACGCATATTGTAAGTAATGTGATCAGAGGGGAAAGGGAATGCAGACTTGCCAGCTATAGCGTGTATGCAAGCGTGATGCCCAGGCGTGGGTTGCCGTTCCAGGGCCGGGTCCGCTGGCTCTTTCTGGGCCTCTTCCTGTTGCTGGTGCTGCTGCTCTTCGCATACCTGCTGGAGTGCACACCTCCAGCAGACGCCAGCCTGGTCCTGCCCGGCCTAGCAGGGGAGGCCTACGGGAAGGAGTACTACCAGGCCCTGCTGCAGGAACAGGAGGAGCGCCACCTAAACCGTGCTGCCAGTCTAAAGCGCCAGATTGCCCAGCTCAAGCAGGAGCTGCAGGAAATGAGTGAGAAGCTGAAGCTTCTGCAGGACAAGAAGGAGCTCCCCGGGGTGCAGGGCCTGGCTGAGACTAAAGACCAAGAGCCGGGAGATCTGCTGGAGTACCTGCACTCTCAGATCGACAAGGCTGAGGTCAACACAGGGGCCCGCCTCCCCAGTGAGTATGCCCTGGTGCCCTTTGAGAGTTTCACTTCTTCCAAGGTGTACCAGCTGGAGATGGGGCTGACGCGGCACCCAGAAGAGAAACCTGTGCGCAAAGACCGCAGGGACGAGCTGGTGGAGGTCATCGAGGCTGCTCTGGACATCATCAACAACCCCGATGAGGAGGATGGTGTGGAGGAAGACATGCCGATGCAGAGACAAACCTACACCGAGGGTCACTTTACTGAAGGTAAGAGCTACACTACCTAACTGCAAACTAATGAATGATATCTGTAACTGAAAAGGTTTTTCAGTGTAGCATTGTTTTTCATATCCTTTTATTTCGCAGGACTGTACAGGACAGAGCGAGACAAAGGGACACTCTACGAGCTCTTCTTTGCCAAAGAGGATTCCAGTAGCTTCCGCCACGTCACACTCTTCAGGCCTTTTGGCCCCTTAATGAAAGTCAGGAGCACATCTGTAGAAACATCAGCACTGATAATTAACATCATTGTGCCGCTGGCGGGCAGAGTAGAAACTTTCTCACAGTTCTTACACAACTTCAGGTGAGAATGAACAAGGAACTGTCCCTGCTGGACATGACCCAGCATGTTCAGTGAAATGTTTGGTCAGTAGACACGTTGGCCGGGTTTTTGTCACTGTTGGGTTATTGTTCTTGTAATTAATTTGAGTTAATTATTATATATGTTTTTTAGGGAGGTGTGCATACAGCAGGACAGGCGAGTACATCTCACAGTGGTTTATTTTGGGCACGAAGGCTTACAGGAGGTGAAGTCATCTTTGGAACAGATGTCAAGGTTTGTCCTTTCCCAGAGGAAGAGCTTTTCATATGCTCATGCAAGATGTGTGGCTAACGTGTCATGGGAATTTAAATACTGCATTTGTTGTTGTTTTTTTTTTTTTCCAGAGAGGAGAGTTTCTCCAATTACACTCTGATCCCAGTGGATGAGGAGTTTTCACGAGGTCGGGGTCTGGATATCGGAGCCCACGCCTGGAAGAAAGGCGACGTCTTAATGTTTTTTTGTGACGTTGACATCCATTTTACACTTGAGTTCCTTAACACCTGTCGCCTACACACTGCTCCAAGTAAGTTTTTACATGTTATTGCTCAGAGTCACTGTATTATTAGTCTTTGAACTTTTTTAGAGATTGACTGTCACTAAATATACTAAGCTGTACTTGATTCTTTGTTTTGTAGATAAGAAAGTCTTCTATCCAGTGGTGTTCAGTCTGTACAATCCTGCCATAGTCTATGGAAATTTGGAGCTGGCTCCAGCCACTGAACTCCAACTAGTAAGGACTAGAAGTTCACATTTATGATTTAAATATGTGTTCCACTCCAGACCAACAAACACTATAGAATAATGATTTGCGTCTGTTAGGTATTTTCCACAAAAACGACCTAGTTTAAAAACTCTTAAAACTACATCTTTTCTCAAAATGAAACATCTAGAATCTGTGAATATGCAAATATTCAAAAGTATTAACTACTGGATGCATGCGTCTCCTATTGAGAAGTCCACTCTCAGTGTATGTGCGCAGGAAGTTGCATATTGGACCATGATTGGCTTCCAAACTAGTTGTGGTGTCACAAAATCTTTCTCTACATCAGCAGAAAATTGATTTCTAGTATCAATCTATGCACAAACATTACTCTGCACGGTGAAGCTCAAACATCTAAGTGAAGTTACAAAAAGCAAAACACATTCTGAGTGGAAAGGGGACTTTCATCTAAATTTAATTTCGATTCAACCCAAATGTGTGGTGTTTCCTTGTTTATTGCAATTTTAAAAAATGTCCTTTCAAATAGATTCACAAAAAAGATACTGGATTCTGGAGAGATTTTGGCTTTGGAATGACGTGTCAGTATCGCTCAGATTTCCTAAATATTGGTAAGCACTGATCACACGTGATTAATATTTAATATATTCATAAACTGATCACATTGACTAACAACTTACAAATTGATTTTATTCGTCCAGGTGGCTTCGATCTTGAAGTCAAAGGCTGGGGTGTGGAAGACGTCCACTTGTACAGGAAGTATCTTCGGAGCGACCTGATAGTGATTCGGACGCCAGTGTCCGGCCTTTTCCACATGTGGCACGAGAAGCAGTGTGCGGACGAGCTGACTCCGGAGCAGTACCGCATGTGCATCCAGTCCAAGGCCATGAACGAGGCGTCCCACTCTCACCTGGGCATGTTGGTTTTCCGTGAGGAAATCGAGGCTCACCTACGCAAGCAGGCCTTCAAGACTCAGAGCAAAACAGAGGACTGAGTAAGCCTCTACGTACCAAACGCGATTCCAACGTTAAGACTGCGAGTTGCTGACTCAATTAACGCACCACAGCAAAGACATGTTTACATGGATCCTTCTGCATTTCACCGCACAGCTGTAGACTAATGAATGTACAAAAATGAGCATCAGTCAGTGTGAAACATGGTACAACTTTTACTGAAGAGCTACAGCAGATTTAAACAAATAAATATACACAAGTAAAACATCTTTTGGATTTAGGTTGACATTGCATTTTACGTACTGAAGCACCTGACTTGCAACCAGTTTCTTCACTATTGTCACCCTCTGTGCAGCTTGACTACCTTTCCCTGCTGAGTTTGACCTCAGCCAGTAGACTTCAGCTCTTTCAGATGATTTCTGCATTCCAAAAAGGTATCCAACAAGATCAAATACAACAGCTGCCAATGTTTAGAGTGGCTTTTTAATAGACAAAAAATCAGTTACAAAAGTGTGAAGTCAAGCTGTGGAACTACTTATTTACAGTTGACAAAAGGAAAAATAAGAATTTGCACTTTCTTATAGTGGAAGTTGAAAAAAATGCAAGTTGACCCCATAAGAACCAGAACGTTTCTGTAGATTCTCAGCTGTCTGCAAGTTGAAGATCAAGGTAATTTACAGTCTTTCCCAGAATATTGGCATTTGTGTATGGAGCCATACTGTTCTGTTAGTATTATATTTATATGTTGTTTCAGACTGGCAGTGTTTTTTTAAAAAAAAGGGACCTTTGTGTGTTTTGTGACAATGAGTCACTGTTCTTCCTTTGCTTTGACGACAGCTTCCAAGTGATCAGTTCAACAGAGAAGCATGTTGATTAAATAGTTAAGAGCCATGAGCAAAGATGTGCTTATAGCATGCAGCGCTATGATATCAGGTCTATATGGACCAGTATTATTTGTATAAATAAATTTCATTTATGCCTGGTGAGAATCACTCACAGCACTATGATTCCTAATACTGGACTGCGATTGAATGTTACAGCCACTGTTGTAAATACTTTTCTAATATTTCTGTTTGGTACATGTGAGTTGAATACGTTTGTCGTACGTGCCTACAGGCTTAAAGTGAAATGTTGGAGATTGTTTTGAAGGTGTTTGAAACAGTGTATACAGCTGTGGGCCTGATAATTGTATTCCATCTCATAATGAGAGCGGATATTACAGCTGAGTAGTTCAGTCGCAAAGATTAGTAGTAGTGTTACTGAGTACAGCTGTCAAAAGTCTACGTAGTGCTTTATTTTTCTCACAATTAAAGCAGGTTATTCTTGCATCTCATCCTGTACTGTAATTTTTTTTAATCAATGTTTTTGCAAATGTTACAGCTTTTTGTAGATAGTCTCCTCGCTCTGCAGGAGAAATGTTACATGCCTTCCTCTCAGCAGTAAACAACAATTCAAACAGAAATAACCTGTGCAAGGAAACAATTTATTTTTAAATTGTGACCATGAAATAAAACATACAGAAGGCTGCATGAACTGCTTCTGTCATTTCTGCTGTAAGCATTTGATTTGAGGATGCATATTTTCAGTAAACTTGACCAGTTCTATAATTTATTCTATAAAAATGTAATATCAAACTTCTCAAGTGTCTTTGAATCTACAAGCTAATTTGTTTCTTAATTTAAGACAAATGGCATAATACTGATTGTATTATTCATCTGTATACAATGAACTACATGGAAATAAAAGAGAAGAAAAAGCATAATTAAAATCCAGGAGAACTGACAAGAAATAAACCAAATGGGGAAGTTTCAGACAGGCTTATTTTCATCTCCGGTACTTCATTGTATTAATGTGCTATCTGCTCTGGATGGATCGCCATGGTCCTGTAGATCTCTTTTAGAAGAAGCAGAGCTGTGTCTTCAGATTGCCTACAAAACAACAGAAGTGTTAATACAGATCTGCGGTTGAACTACAGGAAGACACTTGTTTTCACTTGTATTTAGCGGATTCAGTTTTAGGGTCCTAAAGACATTAGTTTTCTATAAGATCAACAGATTTGACAACCATTACATTTTCGGCTGAATGAAAGGAATTTCTATGTACCAGTAGCAGAGATGACTTTGGAGAGCAAACAGGTACTCGTTGAAACTCTCGATGGGCTTCTCCTGCAGGACGTAGTCAATGCGATTCCCCCCATTCAACATCCCCATCTTCACCTGAGGCTCTTCTTCTCTTTGTGGTTCAGGGCTCTCTGGGATCTTTTGCTCTGTGAGGAACCAGAAGGGAGTTATACATGTCACGCAATACAAAAATATCTTGGTTAAAGAGTCACAAATCAGAGAAAACTCACCCTCCTGTGCTTGCTTTTCCTGCTCTTCGATCTGATTGGCTACGATGGCCAGCTCAGCCTGAAGCTGGGCAGACGCGGTGTGAGCGCGAGCAAAATCGTTGAGGGTCTGCCAGGCGCTCCTAAGGGAGCTGATAAAACCATGCTTCAGGTCAGAGCCCATCCTGGAGAGACTCTCCTTCAGCTCTGAAACACAAACAGATCCATCACTAAATCCATCTGCATGAAAAAGACTGTCAAGTGATTAATGAAGTTTTTTATCTATGCAGAGACAAAAAAATGACAAACCTAATTATTTTACTACACCAACTACTAGACATCAATGTGTCTGAAAAATTAACCAACAAAAAACCAACTGTCCTCTCCTTAATGTTAAAATTTAAATCTAAAGAACATCCAACCAGAGAAACTTGCAAAAGCAAGACAAATCACTGTTTGTCTGTTTTGCCAATTAATTACACCACAGCAATTTCAATGTAAGAATACAGCCTTTGTACTTTACCACCACACAAATTAGGGCACCCCACCCTCAAGGGGTAGAGTGCTCTGAGCTGAGGACACAACATGCAGTAAGCACTCCGTTTAGGCTCTTACGAAGACATGGAACTGTGTCAGCGTTTAGCGTTAACTTTGATTTACTTGCAGCTTTATCAAATATGTTATGAAAATGAGTGATGAACAACGGTGGTGTAGTTATCTGGGGGCGTTACAAGCAAGACTGTCGTACCGAGATGAAGCCTCTTCCTCCCTTTGTGATGTGGGATCAAAACAGGCTTCAAGTCCAACTCTGGTATTATCATGGGCTCAATCCTGTATGCCACTGGGTCCAACTGAAAGAAAAGGAGTCATTCATGAAGCCACCAGATAGTAATGAGTTACTCAGCTTCACTGCTTTCATAACATCGTGATTATACTTTTAGCTACAAAGTTTGCATTTTCATACATAGTAACTATTGTGTGGGCAAGTAGGCTTCAGGGAAAATGACTACGTTTATATGATTCAATACATAACAGACTAACGTGAAAAAGACTCCTTTTAAGAATTGAGACTGATTGTGACTGAATCAAATGACTTTGCATACAACAATAATATGTACAGAATTGCAAACAAAAACTATAAAAACGTGCTACAAGCAATGTAGGCAAACAACTTTTGAGCATATGTAGCTTAATTATAGGGGTGGGAATCACCAGAGGCCCCACAATACGATATTATCACGATATTTACGTTGCGATTCGTTTTTATTGCGATTTTAAATATATTGAGATATATTGCAATTTCCCAACTTCCAATTAGGTCCCTAAAGTCAAACTTTGTCAACATCTGTTTATCTAAAAAGATACATTTCTCTGTTTGTTCATATCACTTTTTCAGTCCTCTATATGGTCCTGTTAAGTTGACTAAAAAAGCAACAGATTTTATTATTCTAGTACCAAAAAGTTAAAACTCCCATCTGCAATTTATATAATAAAATATCGATACTTGGCGTCCGTGTATTGATACAGTATTGCCATGGCAAATATCACGATACTATGCTGTATCGATTTTTCCCCCCACCCCTACTTAATTAGCAGGGGTTGGAAGAGCTGCATACCGGATGGTAAATATTGAAGAATCTTTTGCACGTGGGCAGCTGGTACGTCTCTTCAATCTTTTCCAGTCCTCGCACTGTCAGGAACATGCCGATTGGAGAACCCAAGGCGAAGAAATTCACTGGCTCAAAGTCCAGCGCGTGGTAGACCACTGACACCTGCAGAACAAAACATGATGATAAAGTTATTATTAAATTTCAAGTCAAACTCAGCTTTAACATTATCCCGCAGTTCCAGTTACCTGTCCAGTGCCAACTTCAAAGTAATTGTAGTCTACGTGGATGGAGGAGATAGTGTTGCCCGCTGGAAGCTTCTTCACAGTGAGATCAGGAAGAGCTTCGGCTGCTGCTGGTGCTGGTGGAGGCGCAACAACCTGACTGACCTCTGCTTTATTCTCCTGCGCTGCCTGACGTGCAGCCTGTGTACAGGAAACCAAGACAGAGACACAAAGACTGTGTTGGTCATCACCATCACAACACACTCACAGGTACTCAAGAGACAAACATACCTGCTTGCTCACTCTTTCTTTGACAAACTTGGCGATCTTCTTCCTGGGACCCAGTGGGATTCCCATCTCTTTCAGATCCTCAATTGTGCACATCAGCTGAAATAAGATGAGAAAGGGACAAAGTGAAACAGCCACCGCTATCTTATAAAAATCATATGTGAAGATTAACATCAAAACTCGAGCCGTTATCAAATTCCTTCCCACATTTTCAGTTTTTGTAGACCACAAAACTTTAGGTGACCTTTGACTTTTGAACAAGCAAAGGAAACTTTTGTTCTTACGAAGGATTCTACGTCAATCCTCTCCTCATCAAAGGTACTCTTGTACTCAGACAAGCCCAGATGTTCCAGCATAGCAGACAGATCCTCAAACTCTTCCCCGTCTTCTTTGGGCTCCTCTTCCACAGCTGGAGGGGTGACGGCATTATTTCCCTGTGTACAGGGGGCTGTCACCTGATATGAGATGCAGAATTTACAATTATGTATTGCAACATTATTTTGATGATCCATGTGCACATAAGTATGCCAAAGAACTGAAAACCTTTATTATTATATCACACTGAGTGGGGCAACAAATATGCCATGTTTTAATAGAAAAATCTGATGTTTTTCAACTGATCTGAAGCATGTTAGATGACTTGTTACTGCATATGTTCAATCAATTAAATTAACTGGTGTATGACCTGTTTGGTGTCTCCATTAGAGGAGGGTATGATTGGCATGAGCGGTGCAGCAGAGTCATTCTTCTGATTGGACAAGAGGTCAAAGAGAATCAGTGAACCTGCAAGAACAAAAGTCAGAACAATCCATTATTGGTGAAAAACAAGACAAACACAAAGCCAGCGGTGTAGAAGCTAATCAACAGGTTTATTACCCAAGCTGTGTCCGGCTACGGATATGCCGCCTCTGTAGTCTGGATTCCTCTTCATGAACAGGGCGTAAAGTCTGTTAATCTCTTGGGCAACCGTGTCCATGATGGTCTGGCAGTAAGTGGGACTGTTGTAGAAAAGGACATCTAACAAAGTCTCATTTGTAAAGTGACGTAAACGTCCAGTACTGGGCAAGGTAATCTTCTTTATCCTCCTACAAAAGAGAAATAAGTCTATAATTAATTAAGTACATTAAAATGATAAGTCGGTGATATTCCAGGTGAGCTGCAGGGGGGCCCTATTCTATATTTATCTTATTGCTAAAATACAAGACCAAAACAACAATGGATTTGTCTGCCAAAGCCTGGTATATCTTATTAAAAACTCATCAGTGACCCACATTGTTGCACCGGGTGACATGTTTCTTCATTATCATGATGCATGCAGCAGTCAAACCACAAACACAACAACCTGCAGCTGGGAACAGTCACTAAGGCACCAAATAAGTATTAATCCACTGCTGAAAATAGTCCCCAGCAAATGTAAATGTTCTCTTGTTTAAGTATAATCAACAAAAAAAACTACAGTACCCAGTTGTTTTAGGAAAGCCTTTTTCTAAAACGGAAATGTTATATTTGTAAATAAAGGTTTACATGTTTAATAGCAATAACTTATGACTAACTAATAATAACACTCATATCGGAGTGCTACAGACAGGGTACGGAAGTCAGAAAGTATTGAGACGGGAAAAAATGGTCTTTGCATAGGGTATGTAAGTGCAGTCTTTCCATAAAATGACTTTCTTCTGCATAGTGAATGGATAACTGACTTTGGATGCTTGGATCTAATGGATCCACTGACATTTCCACATCCAATACTTCAGTGATTGTGACGGATTTCCATTACATCCAAACCTCCAAACATCAGCTGATAACAACTAAAGGTGTCATAAGACTTTCTTTTGTGTTTGCATTGATTATAACCAAAAACTTCCACCGTCAGCGTAAACCTGCCTCTCCTCACCTGTCCACCCCTGTGGCATCTCCATGTAGAGCTGTGTGCCACTGGACAGGAAGGAACTCCACCCTGCTGATGGCGTGCTCATCCAGCGATTTCTTAAAGTGACTGTGCAGCAGCTTGAGTGACACACTGCGGAAGTCGTCCACTGAAAGCACAAGGGTTTGTGCAGTTTATTTAATAAATAGCGTCACCACGGAAGGCACACTACTACTGGCCAACAACATGATTGAATGGTACTCACCACACTCGACCATGCTCCTAAATCTGAGGTCACACACAGGACCGATTCCATGAACCATGAACACAAGATGATCCACCTTGGGGAGCTCCCCTGGAAAAGTTGCAGAGGATGGAAATGTTGAAATTCACTTTACTCACTGACATACACAGTCAATTATTGCCCTGTTTACATTTTAACATGCAAGCCGCAATGCATTTACAACCAAATGATAAAATAAATCTCACAATTAATTTCCCCTAATATATCTGTGTGTGTATATATAGTCTTCTGAAATACCCATCTTGCTTTATAGCGTCCTGACATTTGTTAGTGTCCTAAAAATACTATCTGAGCTTTCTGGTTGGATCAATAAGCTTAAAGTTTATTTCAGGGGGTGTAAATGACACAGTACAAACTGGATTTTATGGGTTTAGTAAGTGCCTACGGTTGGATTAAATGAACTTGGGTATAGAGGAACTTGACTACCATCAGGCACTTCATCATGGTCATCATCAGTTCCTCTCTTCACCACTCTGGGCCTGGTCTGCCCATCCTGAGTTGTGCCCCATTCATCTGGTATGGAGGAGGGCTGAAATTGCACAATCACCTACGGATGCAAACAGAACTCATTAAATAAAGCTAATAGGCTTAATCATCACAAGACCACCACTTAACACTAATCACACAAGGGTTTACCTTTGGATTGTGCATGACAATGGTCTCTCCTGATGGGAACTCCAGTCTACGGTGCCACTGGTTGGTAGACACAGCTTTCTTATATTCTGCCTGAAGTTAAAGACACAAGTATGTACAGTGATTTACAATACAAACATTGTACATTAAAGTTGCAGAACTGGATAAAATAATAAAATATGCCCTACATTTTAAAAACATCCGTTTCTGGTGAAATTAAGTCGTGAGACAAACCTCCAGCTTGTCACTAAACTCCTCGGAGTAAGGAATAAAGCGACTATCCGTATCCCCTTTGTAGAACCAAGAGCAGCGGCGGACCTCTGTAGGCTCCTCCTCCCAGTACACTGAAGTCCGGATGCGATCATAGAGCTGTACGTCATAACGCCCTCCATCTGTACGTACGATCACATTTTCTGGGTCTGGCTGAACTGGAAGAACAAAAAGCCCGCAAAAACATTAGAGCAGATCAAAGGTTCACTGCGCTGTGAGAGCACCAACACTGCCAGGGTAAGATGTTTGGATTTCTTTGTCATACCTGAGTTATATGTCTCCTCTAGCTGAAGGGAGTCAATGATGCTGAAAGGAAGCCAGACGCTCTTCGATTCCACTTGCTTGCAGTAGAACCAGTGATGCTGAACAGGCTCATAGACATTGTAGTTGTATGGCATCATGGGACCAGCAGGAACTAACGCTCCAGCAGTGGTGGCTGAAGGTGGAGGCGCCTGGATCTGTGTGGGAGGAGGCTGAAGAGAGAAGTAAAAAAATCAGATTAGAAATTCATTTTCATTATTGATGATTGCATTTGAGGTATGTAGCAAACACACAAATCCGACACCATCACTGATTAGCTTATGTCTACCTTTGTGAATGTGGGTCCTGACAGTGGGAATGTCTGTGGCGGTGAGCTGAGAGAGTATGGATTCTGCTGAGGTGTGTGTGTTGGTGGCAGGATCTCCGGAGCTGGAATATAAGGACTGGCTCTGCTGCTGGTGGGGGTGTGTCGGTAAGGATTATGACTCTGTGGCTGCATCTGAGGAGGTGGTGGAGTCATTGTGGTGGGGGGAGGAGTGTGACGCCCCATAGGGCTCTGGTAAACTGCAATGCCAAACGCTAGAGGAGCAGGGTTCATTTGTGAGCCTGGAGGTGGTGGTGGAGCCACGTGGACACTGCTGGGAACCGAAACCGGGCCTGTTGTTGTGGGGGCTGCGGACAGGGCTGGGGGAGGGCATGGCGACTGGCCGATAGACGCGAACGGGTCACTGCTGGTTACGGGGCTGGAGAAGTAGTTGAATGTAGAGGGGGCTGGTCCGTTCCCGGAGGTTTGACCGAGAAAGCTGTCTTCTTCTCCAACATCAGTGGAATCATCTAATAAATCAAAACAGAGTAAAACATAAGCGATTACATTCATTTGTGACTCTGCAAGGGACATCCAAAACATCTGACTCATTTCCACACAACAGGGGAAGTGGGCATGCATGGTATTTATAATAGTTGGGTTTTGTGTATAAAATGTCAGAAAACAGAGAAAAATGCCCATCAGCGCCCACTGTGGACATCTTAAAATGGCTTGTTTTGTCCGACCAAAAGATATTCAATTAAAATGAAATGAAAACCGAGAAAAGCAACAAATCCTCACACTTCTGTCAAATAATTGAGTAATCGCCCAATCATATCAGCTCTATATAAAAGTATATTATATGAGTGCTCATCACAAGAGAGACCTGAGATTCAGGATGTAGTCAAAGTGAAAATACAGGCCGAGCTCCCAGATATAACTGATTTTACCAGGAAAGGGGGCTTTAATCTGTCAGTTAGTTTAAGGATAGGGCCAATGTAAAGGCTTTACACAAAATGTTTTGCTAATTACTAACTAAGATTCTCCCATTTAGCTGTACATCCTCTTCATGTAATGAAACATCAGACAAGGGACAGTCTGACTAAAACACATCACTGCCAATTAGGCTAACCTGTCTATCAGACGACTGTCAGCTCAGACACACAGTTTCTTTCTGTTTTACCTACTTTTACACAAATAACAGCTGATCATGTAGCACAGGAACCAGGAACCCACTTAGCTAGCTAGCTAGCTATCTAGCTAGCTTAGCCTGCTAAGGACACCACTAATGTTCAGACATTTCCTCAGTCGGCATTTAATCTCACCTCCTGACAACACCGCCGGACCAGAGGCCTGACTCACTGGCATGAAAGGCAAAGTGAAATTAAACTCCGGGGCGGCGCTGAATAGCAAATTCGCACTGGTGTTAGAAGCATTATTATTTCTTCTATCTGCCATTTTCCCCTACTATTACACGTAGCCACTACCGGAGCAGGCAGGCAAGCAGTACACGCTCAGTTCTCCAAACAGCCTTGTCTCCGCCCTCGCAGTTTTGAATGATCTCTACAACATCACGTAGCTCATCTGACGGCACGACAACGGCACACATTGTTTATAGATCTACTAAAGCCACGCAGGTCATTTGGCCGCAGTTCGTTTGTCGTAGGAAAAACAAACACTGCCCCTTACTACTGCCCCCTACAGGTCAAGTAGACTCCTTACACAGTGACATTTTATCCATTCAAATGAGCTTAACAACAACACACAATTTTAAATGACAGGTAAGTTATATAAATAATACATACTTTTTCGATTCTAGACCAGAAACCTCAAACCAAAACTCCCAGCCCGGTGGAGTACAGAAAAAAAAAATCAGCCAGTGATATCTCCGTGCTCCGGATCGTCTCTGTGTGCAAAACAAACGAGTTACGCCCGTCTGCTGGTGACGCAATTTTCCCGCCCTCACTTCTGTAATCCGGTGTGGGCGAAAGTTAACAAAATAGCGTTTTCACAGCGGTTTTATTGTCATATATTTTATATTCTTCGGGCGTTTGTCAGTCGCCAATGATGCCTTCCACACATGACTGGATTAACAACCCTCTCGGCGTTGTTGAGGGGATGTTTGGTAAGAGGAACACCGGAACTTCACTCCATGACGGCTAACGTTAATGCGTGAACTTAAAGAAAGCTAGTTAGCTGTGTGGCTACGTACCATGCTAACTGTCATGCTGACCACATGTAGCTGGGCTTCTCAGCAGATAGCTTACAAAAGTTTCTGCGGGTTGCAGAGCAGCTTCACGCTTACTTACATTTATAATCAAGTGGCCGATGTGCAGTTTGATCTGAAGTCCTGTGTGTACAATGCAAACTGAAAATGGAGCATTCACGGGTCATAAAAGTGCCTTAAAGTAGTCTAAAATCGACTGACATTCGTGGAATGTACTAAACTGTTTTGGATATAGATACATGTAAACTTTATGTCCTAAACAACTTCAGAGATTGTGAAATATTATATATTTTTGTCAAGATATAAATGATTTTTAGTTAATTTCCTTTAATTTACCATTGAAACGAGCTGGTAACATGATACTGATCATTATTTTACAAATGCATAAGCAGTAATTTACCTGATGATTCACATAAAGTCAAATAATATTTTATGAATAAATTGGACAATGATGATATGTATTAGTCAGTTGCAGGGTCAAAAGTAATAATTTATTTTAACATTATAGTTTAATTCTCTTTATAAGTTGTCACTGTCATAGGAAGTAAAATCATAAAAGTGCCTAACGTTATTTTATGTACAAAAATGCAAATATTGGTAAAGTTAATTCTGTGCAGCTATTTTAATGCATCCGAATGTAAATGTTTATTTGGTTTTTTTTGAAGTTCTTTACTCCACAACACACTGTTTATCCCATGCTTACTTTGTGATCATTGTTGCTAAGTTGAAACTATGTGATTTATTTATTAACAAATCAAATCACTGGTATCCTCAAAGCCAGTGTTTTCTGTTATTATACAGGCCTATTTATGTTTCTGGTACTTTAAATGACAAAAAGTAACACTATGCTCTTGTTGATATTTTAGCTGCTTCCCAGAACAATCCAAACTCTGGATGGGAGGCGAAAGTGGTTGAATTCTTTAAAGAGCAGCTGAAAGAGAGCGATGCTCGTACCGGGGTAAGGCAAGTCTGGGGTCCTTTCAGCATGTAAATTCCACAGCGGTACAAAAGATGCCTGTAGACCTCAGCACATTCGCTTGTAAATGAGAACCGTCTTCATTTTGGTACAGGTCCCGTCTTTAAACGATGTCCCTCTGCACTACCTGAAGCCCAACAGCCTGGTGAAGTTTCGCTGCTTAATCCAAGACATGTTCGATCCAGAGTTCTACATGGGAGTGTATGACACTGTTGATCCATCAACAAAGGCTAAAGTAAGCACTTTCTTGTCCTCTCCTCTGTAGCTATTTGCATAAGCCCCCTCCTGTGCCCAGAGCATATTCTTTGCATTTTATATGTTAAATGTCATCATGTTATCATCTTATTTTACTGTCTGATTATTCCCAGGTGTTGCATTGTGGGAAGTACAAAGATGTGACAGAATGTGGGGTAAGTCCGCCTCTGTTAAATCACTCAAGAGATCCATAAATGGCTCAATTCAGCTTCGGCTTTGCTAACACTTGTTTATCTTCAGGTGGATTTTAACTCCAGAAACACTGTGACAGCAGAGAGACAGACTTTCTACTGTGTGCCAATCCCTGGAGAGAATCCCTGGGTGAAAGAGATATCCTCATACTGTCCAGATTAAGCCAATACATACCTGATGGAAATGCTCCTCAAACAGGAGATTTTTATCACACATTCTTTTCTGAACCCAGCTTGTGTTGCAAGTATTTTTGAATACTGCTCCCTGGTTTTCCTTAATTCTGTCGCACAGCTACGCCGGCTCTAGCCAAGCAAGAGTGGTTCCTTCCACCTCTTATGCTCCGACCAGGCAAAAACGTAGCTACGAGGAAGACGACGACATGGACACGCAGCCGCAGAAGCAGAGGGAGCCACATACTGGTATGAGCTGCTGGTTAAATGAAGATGGATTTGTGTAGCTGAATGCTAAAGCACTGTCCAGTTTGTTTTAACACAAGTCTTGTCTGGTTCCCATGAAGATATTTTGCATGAATGTAAATTTATCTCGGCAGTATTTTACTAGGGGAGAAACCTTTTCTTTATCTCATTTGCCTTTATCATTGAAATATTTGTAGTACAGGTACGATGGCAAAATATTTTAAGCTCCCCATAACATCGGATATAAAAGTCAGGTGTACTTTTGGTCAGAATCAAAGCGCAAAGTTCTTCCTAAAATTTGTAGACTTGTTGTACCACTTGACACCACAAGGTCCATTTAGTAGCTAATCTGGAGTCTTCATTCATATCTCATTATCTTCCTCTGCAGACGGGGAGTAGTAGGTGGACAGGCAGGGTGACAGAAAGTTGGTCCACTTGAGATGTTTGCCATAAATGCAGACTAACTGCTCCCCCCTCGCTGCAGGTCCTCAAAGTCCCACAGAACAACAAGGCAATGGTGACTGCAAGCGGCAGGAGAAAGAAGCTCCTTCCAGCCAGACTGCATCTGCCTCCCATCTTGATCTCAACTTCCCCCTACCAGGAGAGAAAGGCCCCTCCTGCCTGGTCAAGGTGTGTCATATCTCTTAACACTGGGTTTTGGTGCCTTTTGCTTTTATCACCTCATTTTCATTGCTGTAACCTCTAGACACAGATATTGGTGGATTATTTATCTCATGTCAGACGTTTGTTCTAAGAGGCGATTCCAGAGATGATGCCACCTTAATCAGCAGACTTTCCGAGTGTAGAACAGAAGCTAAAAGATGCGTGTTGTCGGCAGGTGTACGAGGACTGGGACAGCTTCAAACTGAACGACACACTAGAGGTCTACGGCATCCTCTCGGTCAGTCCCGCTCTCAGTGCTCTGGCCGACGAGAAGTAAGACCCATCGTTTAGTTGAATTAGCCTCTTGTGGTGATCAGCGTGTTCGTTACTCATTCTTGGCATGTCCACACAGAGACGCCTCCTCATTCCTCCTGGATCCTACAGAGTGCATGGAGACAGCAGAGGAGCAGAGAGTGCACAGCCCGCCAGCCTCGCTCGTCCCTCGCCTACACATGCTTTACGCCAGGCCACTGCCCCACAACAACCCCCTGCTGCCCTTTGCCACCTTGGAGGACAACGGTGCCTGTAAGGACAAATAGTAGTGTGAATGCTGCTTGATAACCAAACTTAATTTTTCTTGTTCCTGTGTAAGTGTAATCATCAATATAGTAAAGAGAGTAGAAGGCTATTGCACTACATCAGTGCTGATGTTTCCTTATCAAAACCCTGGCTGAAATGTAGCGTCTGGGGCACAGCATTTTGCATAACACGATTTTTACACATTTAAATGAGTCTAGCCACAATTCATCTGATTAGCATAAAGTGCTGCTAAATAACACCTGATGCCGGGGTTTTTTGATACCTGTTGCAATGTCACTCTTGGACCTGAAAATGTGTATTCATACCACAAATATTAGTCAAATAGCATGGCGTCAGCAAACGGAACCAATGTTTAAATGTGTCATGAAAATTCAATGTGATAGATTTTCGGTAAAACGTTAAAACTCGACAGCAGGCCTCCATAATATATCGGTGGTGCCCTTTTGTAAACATGCAAAAACACATTTTGACTTTTGAGCGCCTCTAAAGGGATGTAAATCCTTAAAAACACATTGAAAACAACATTAAACAAATAAGCAACATAAACTGTAGTTCCAGCTCTGTGGGGAAGCAGGAAAAAAAAGGGACCATATATTTCTAAGCTTTCCAAGAAGAGGGATAATGCAGCAAGTGTTTTCCACTGTAAACCTTTTAAAGCAGCCATACAGATTGGTTTAACTCTTCATCCTCCTCAGTTGTATCTTCGACCCTGAGCGAGATGGCCTCCGTCAGGGCAGAGTTGCTCACATACTTCACTCACGTCCTTCTGGGAGATGCCCTGGCTGCTGAGTACCTCATTCTGCATCTTATCTCTAACGTGTAGGTTAACTTTGGTCTGTAATGTCTAAGTAGGAAACCTCCTGCTTTTGTTTTGTAGATTCATGCTAGAGCCAAAGGAGCTTTTTCATTTCACAATGTGGTTGATCTTTTTGCAGGTACAGTAGACGGGATGTTCTCCCACTGGGGAAGTTCACGTTGAATCTGAGTGGCTGTCCTACTGTCGCCTCGTACACGGAACGCTTCTACCAGATTATCCAGCAGCTAGTGCCTTCTGTGAGTGAACTTTATCACTCCAAGCAACATCCAATACTGCTAGATTTATTTATGTAATTCTGGTTTAAATAAATGACACTGAACATTTTCCCCGCTCTGCAGTCGTATTATCTGGGCATGAGCCTCCAGAACATGAACCAGATGCGGTTGGTGCCCAAGAAGGACTATGTAGCCAACCGGCTAGTGAGTGGAGTCCTGCAGCTGGCCAGAAACACTTCCCTCTTCCTGGATGAAACCCAGCTGGAGCAGGGTCAGTTAGACACAACAGGTGAGGCTTCTAGAAACCACAAGGGGACGACACTGAGAGGACAGACTCTGCAGTTAATGCTTTCCCGGCAACCTGTAGACACTGCTAGTATGATCTGACTGAGCCAGCACTAACAAGGTTGAATCTTCCTCTGTGTGTTTGCGTTGTGCAGGTGTGAGTAACATCACGGCCCTGGGAAACCTGATCTCGTGGCAAAAGGTTTATTATGACTTTAACTACCACCAGATGGAATTCCCCTGCAATATTAACGTGCTCATCGTGTCAGAGGCCCGCTCGCTGCTGTCGGTAAGGACAAAGAGAGATGAGGTGTGCAATCACAGGACGAAAACTCACCCCTAATCACCACTGACACCCCCAACCCTCCAGCATGGCCAGGGAGGGGTTAGGTTTCGACTAGCCTCTCATGAGAGCGAGCAGTGTGACGCTGGAGCTTGTTTCCAGCCAGTGTCACGCTGTCATCGCAGCTGCTATTGGTCAGCCACAGCAAACCCTCCAGCCAGCGGCTTTAGCCCAGGTCTCACTCTGTCGCGAATAGCCCAAGGAATGTGCTGTGTGCTATTCCTGTGTGTTGTCTAATGGGTTGCCATGGTGGCAGCTGTGAGCCACGGGAACAATCCTGGGAGAGGCGTCAGGCTCTGCCATCTATTAGTGCTGCATTGAAGGGCAGCGCGCTGAAAACAACTCCCAGGGTTGATTAGAAGTCAGGAGTACACGGCTGTGTTTACATTGAACCACTATCGGCTGATGAGCAGCTGGCGGGTCACATTGATCAGATGCCTCACGGTCGGCTCACCAAGGCTTTGCTCTTTGTCTGGCATGCTAGGAAGTTTTGAGAATATGCCAAACTAGGCGTGCATATAGCAGGCGGGGCCTACTTTTGCATAGCAACACGTGTGTGTGTGTGTGTGTGTGTGTGTGTGTGTGGAACAAAAAAAAGTAGTTCATGTAGTAGTAATGCAGTGTTACTTCTCTTTAACTCCACAGTCAGACTGTCAGATACACCTACAGTCTCAGGTGACCCCACCCCACTTGGAGGAGTATCTGAGCGCCATTCACATGCTTCCGCAGGCTTCATCCCAGCTGAACAAGTTCAGAATCTACTTAAGCGTCGCTAGGCTGCTAGACTACAGTATCTCTGATGAAGTGACAAAGGTGAGACACGCTGTCATGTTTTCTTTAAAAAAAATAAATAAATAAATCATGTTTAGAGGTTGACGTAAAAATGATATCGGTATCTTGGAACTAGTTGCTTGCAGGTTAGTTGTTCCTTCATGTACCAGGCAGTCCTGTCTGTGTCTTTTTAATGAGCAGTCTGTGTCATCTGCGTGCATTAGAAGTCATTTAACAGCTTGTCCTTTTCTGGTGTCTTCAGTCAGTTGAGGATGACTTTGTCGATATGAGGAAGGACGACCCCCAGAGCATATCTGCAGAGGACCTCCACAGGATGCTGGTTGTGGCGAGGTAGGCTGTGATAAAGTTTATATAAGCTCCTTCATTTGGCATTTCTTTCATTTTTATCTGCTCTTTAAAAGGCAAAGTGTTACATAAACACAACAATAAGTCATTATTACTAACAATGAAAATGCCAGCTATGCAAAGCAACAAATGTGATTACAGTATTTGGAGTATTAATTTATTCATGCGGATATATGTTTGAGTGGGATGTGGCTGACTGGGAATCTGTCCGCAGGTTGCTGTCTCTGAGCCTGGGACAGAGCTCTCTGTCCAGAGACAGCTGGCTGAGAGCCAAACACATCGAGATGCTGCGGAGGAGCCGGATGGAGCAGCACAAGTGTGTCAATGGCAACGAACCCTGATCACATAGAGCCAAATGAGTTGGCTTTTGTTTTTCTTTTTGATACCTAAAAAGTTTGTAATAAATCTGTTTTTCATATGCCTGAAATAGCTCATGTTGTGTTCAGCTTTTTTACCCGACTGAGTTGCAGAGAAGATTAAGATATATTTTTACTTAACTAATGGGATTAATGGGTTGTAGTTTGTATGTACAGTAACTTGTCAGTGTTCATCATTACTCTCATGTTGCCTTAATTTCATGCCAGTGGTTGATGACCAAATTGTGTTTACAAAAAAAATCTAAATTTCTGACAAAATTAAATAGGGTAATGTGGAGGATTATTTCCTATGATGCATTTTCTACTTAAGACCTTACACATTTAGCGAGTTGCCAGCATATCCTGGCATGAATACTTCCTGTTCATGGATTTGACAATAAACATCGTGCAAAACTTATCCACTCACTCACTTTTTATTCCAGTGGAATATCTTCCTAAACAAGAAGTGTACAGTGCGTTTTGTTATCAAGTAACAACCAAAGAGCATAAGAATAAATAGGATACTTTAATATACAATCTCAGTACACTGTGGAAAACAATGACAACAGTCAGTTGGTAAAGAGGAAAGACATGACTGCTGACATTCAGATGGATGGTGCAAATGCTAGAAAATGTGCTTAAACAGTGCAAATCAAATGCTTTAAGACCTCTTGTCATGGTCTGGGGTCCTAATGGGAGGGGAGGACATCCACAGAAAATGCATGAAAAGGTGGTTGCAAAAGCACTTGCTGTAAAACAAAGGAAAGGAGAAAATTCTCACCCAGCAAATATACGATCAAATACAGTTGCCAGCTTTTGCATTTAAAAAAAAAAAAATTCAGACCCCAAAACATTGTGGTCTCTATCGGGAATGTTGAGGATTACTGTTCCTTTTAGCCTAACAGCCAGTGTAGGACAGAATACGTTTCTGCTCTGCTTGAGTACTGCTCCAGTGTTTGCAATCCTGAAGGAAGTTTAAAAAAAAACAACAAACAACACACTTTACCCTCTGCTTTAAACCTTTGCATTACAGCTATTACCTTAAAGCTTTGGCAGCACCACACACGATCAGCAGGTTCTATATAATGTAGCACCGACAAAGCAGCCAATGCTACAGTCTCACTTAACAATTAGTCAAATAAAATATACAAGTGTCCCACATCTGCTGGTGAGCAAGCTGAATGCAGAAAACAGGAAAATGTAACACAAAATATGAAATGTGTGACCGTTTATCTTGGGGTATTTCAGCTCGAAGCCAACCAGATTATTATTTTTCATAAATAGACAGCAATCATTCATTATTTCTTCTGGAGGACTGTAACAGGGTCATGTGACAGATTTACCCTGGATGGCAACAACTGTAAAGTTTAACAGATGACTAATGAGGCAAAACCTCACTTACTGAGGTTAACAAAAAAAACATGTACAACATAATGTTTACGGCTTCATAGCACACAAATAACTAGGGCTCTAAGGTGAGCACTCCTAAATACCACCAGCAGCATAGATGCTGTAACACACAAACTCACACATACTGTACAGTACATACACACTGTGTACATATGTAAAACCCTGCTCATTTCCACGGACAGTGTACGTGCCAGTAGATGAAATATCCCAAGATAAAGCTTCATGACATACAGTAACCCTGAACATGATTGTTTATACAGTACACCAAATGTAACATGTTAGAATGGACTTAAAAAGGTAGATTTTGCCATAAATACCTGATAAACATAATCCCACTTCAATTCCTTGTTAAGGCAAATATGCTTTCAGTTTGGGGAGTGCATAAAGCGTCAGTGTTTCTAATTATTAGGTGGGTGCAATTGCATATATATCTACTATATGCTACTCTCCTGTCTTTGTCAAACATGCAACGTCAATGTACAACGCTGGCCGAGGACTCAGTTCAAACAAACCCTTATTAGGTAATTAGTACAACCTTTAGCAATAGTTCAATTCAATACATATATCTATCAAATACAACTCCAACCAGTAGTTTTCTGGTTATTCGTGGTTAACAATGACAGTACTGGGCATTCCTTTCAAAATATAATGTTCATACCTCTTTGAACATATTAAGCTGCCACCCTACCATCAATACAAAAAGCTTAAGGGAAGGCTCTACTCAGCGAACAGATAAACATACAATATTCACTGTACATATCGACAACCAGGATACTCTTACTAAAGGTCTTGTGTAGTCATTATTTCTATACGCTATATCTTCTAAGTTACACTTGACAACACTGATATTAAATAGGATAACTACGTACAGAAAGTCGTCTGGCTAGTATCTGACAGCTATAAAAATGGTAATAGTTAACACAGAATTGTCCTTTGGGAACCCCAAAATATTTGGTCGGATTCTACAACAACATACAAATTGAAAGTTATTACGAGGTCTATTTCACAAACGCCAATAAGTGACCTGCACGTACTGTACATGATGACATTACAGTACATGATAACATCAGAGTTGGTCTTTCAACATGCAGCTAATGTTGACCTGCCTTGTCAAAAATCAGTCGCCATTAACCTCACATGCAAGCACTGTGGGTAAAATCCATTTTCAGACTAAGGATAGTCACATGTTTACATGCACAAAAATGCTCTGCATACCACTCTGGAAGTACAGGAGTTTAAAAAGTCTTATCTTTTTATGTCTTAGTTATTTGTCTCTTAAGGTAATCACAATGAGAATATCCTAGAAATTTCACAAGAAAACTGGACTTACAGAACTATTTCCTTCAACGGTAGCAGTATTTTTTAGAGTGATTTAGGATTTGTATGTACCATATTTCAATCAAATGTTCTGCTGTATACATTATATATATATATACACACCATATATTTTCACTGACACATGGGAGTTAAATCAGATTCCCCAAATAATTAAGCATTTATCATGTGCCATTTTCATACTCAAACCTCGGTACTAAGCTCTGGTATTCTGAGATTTACATCAGAAATGTCATAGCATCGGCATTATTACAATTTCCATAAGAACAGAATATATTGTGGACAATTGATTATTTAAACTTAAAAGAAAGAGCACCTGACAATGTCAATATCAGTGTGCAATGTTGCATGGCAAAAGGGACACGAGCTAAACCTCCCTCATAGCAAAAAGGGTAAGGGAATCCGTTATTGTGTGCATGTAAACATGGTCACTGTCATGTTGGGCCTCAGTATATATTTATAGGTTCTTTACAAGAGTCATGATTAACAAGGGCAAGTTTAGCTAAAGGGCAAATTTAGGAGTGCATTTCTTGGCCGAGTAGTGCCGCTATGTGCAAGCTTTTGCTACTGCTACCATACAGGAAGTTTCTACATGACATCTGACTACAAAATCCTGTTACAAAGGAAAGCACTAGATCTGAATGATCCTGGTCTGGCACTGTGTAAACATTGCCTTCAGCTCGCTCTCTTGGGCTTCGTTGACAGTATCTGGCTCTGGGCTCTTTTGTACCTTTGCCACAGCGAAGTTGATGCCGTGGGTGAGTCCCGCCTGGGTGAGGCTGGCTACCTGGACCATGGAGCTCTTGATCTTGGCAAAGGGGGACACCACTCGGCTGCCGTTGCTGTCGGCAGGCGAAGGGCCGAGGCTGCCCTCCATCAGTGAACTCAGACTCCTCTGAGAGCCACCTGAGGCAGCAGAGCTGGGCTTCTGGACGGTGAGGAGGTTGGAACAGGAGGTAGTGGACTCGACGTCTAGCTGTGAAGGCCTAGGGAGCTGGGGCTCTCCCTTCTGATGCTGCGGTTCGGAGCTCGGCTGCTTGTCTGGGTCTGCTAGGATCTTCTTCTGCGCAGGCACCGCAGGGTTGAGTTGGGGGACAGCAGCTGGTGGCTGCTCTCCAAACACCTCCACAGGTTTGGTTTGTGCATCCTGGACAAACTGGTGGCAGTAGGCATCAATGGGAGTACCAAAGTCAATCAGAATGGCTTCTTCAGCCACCGAGGCGGCCCCTGGGGACTTGTCATCACTGACTTGAGAGGAGCTTTCCTGCTTTCCGTCACAGCCAGTGACCCGAATAACAGAAGGGATATTTAGCTCCACGCTACCGATAGATTGGGAGCGGCTGCCCAGTCGTGGGTTTGATGCTACTATGCCACAGCTGGGCAGCACATAGTCCACATTTTCTAAAGAACCAGAACACGGGTGCTCTGGGTCAGAATTATAGGAGTCAGAGTCTGATATTTCAGAGTGCTCGTCACCAATATCTTTTACAGCTCCTGTACCAGGGTTATTATCTGATGTCTCCAAGCTGCTGTCCGACTTCCACAGGTTGACATGCATAGTTGGCTTTAGGAAATCTTTTACATCAGGTTTAGAGAAGTTGCTCAGCCTACCGAGGGGCTTGAATGGGCCAATGTTTACGTTAGTCTTGGTCTGTTTCACTTTCTGATTGAGGGAGGAGAATTTGTTGAGGAGGAAGCTTTTGCCCTGCGCCAGACCAGAACTACCCTGGACGTGGTCAGCAGGTTTGTTCTGGATGCCCATTATATCCTCATGAGGTTTGCTCTGCCGCCTGGATCACAGATGCAAACATCATAAGTAAGCAACTCACAGCTCTTCAACACAGTCATTTGTTAAAATTTAAAGTTGTGCTACGATGGCTACAAATGTTTCTCTTCATCACATAAAAAAAGAGACAGATGAACGCTTATCATCTTAATGATTAGTTACAAATTAGTACTCACCGCTCCAGCTTCTTTTCAACCACAAGCAGATCCAGCCCCATGGCCTGTTTAGTTATGCGAAGCATCTCAGCTATGCACTGTAATGTGTCTGAAAATTATCACAATGTAAGTCTCAACCAGCATAGGCAGTCTATGATTTTAAAGGTTTCCTTTTTTTGCTGTCTAAAGAATTTAAAGAATTACATCCTACCTTTTCCATCATCCTCAGGATTTCGTGTTGCTGCTCTCAGCGTGTGAAAGTATCCACTTGTCTCTTCATTCCTGTAATGCAAACGCATGCAGCAGAACTTTGGCTTCCCAAACAGAGTAGGCTCTGGACCTGCAAATGAAAAACCCAACTTATAACTTCCATTTTTAGTGACCTGCTTTTCTAGCATGAATCATAATCAGTAGAGATGTTGCTAAAACGTTACTGAAAATCTGTTAAGCACTCTTTCGGGAAGTGTTGGGTGAGTCAGTGAGCGTACAAGAACCTTCACTTCTCCTTTGACTCTCATTTCTTACCAATTTCAATCTTTTCCAAACCCTCCAAATTCAGACGCTGGTATTGGTTGACTTTATCTGCTTCTTCATCATAGCTACAAGAAAATAAATGCAAATATAAATGAATCTATAAGAACAATTTCTAAAGAAAAATGTTGGGGAATTTAAAATCAGACTTACTAAGCAATGTAATAGGCATTGTTAGACAGGAGCAGCAGCACATCCACGTCTTTGTTGGTTGCATCAATGAGGCTGGTGGGAAACAAGAACGGTATCATGAAAAGAGCACTTCATAAACTACTGAAAACATAGTATAAATAGTACATAAATAGTACAAACGTACGTATACCCCTGATGGTATAAATTTAATAAGTAATAAAGGTAAGGCAGCTAGCCACTAACCTCATGTCACAATTGATGAGAGCCCAACCTCCATGAAACTTCTCGTCATCAGGCAGTAAAAGCTGCATATAGGTCTGCAGCAGGAGGCTGACCTGCTCCTGCGCTCCCCTTTGGCTCTCTTTCTCCTTCTCTTCATGCTCCTTTTCTTTACTGAAGATAGAGTACAGGTCCTCCGTCACTGGCAGGCCCATCATTAGGTCTGCAGGGAGAGGCAGAGGATACAAAAGAGTCTATCAACAAGGACCGATTTTGGGACAACATGGGTACAGATACACACAAAGAGCTATAATACCGGCCAGTTTCTCCATACCAATGACTGCTTGTCTGTAGGCATCCCTAAAGCGGTTCAGATAGTAGCGGTTGGCTGAGTTCACACCATCCTTCATCACCCCAGCCAGTCTCCTCTCCCCCGTCCTGGTGAAATCTCCCTAAAAAAGATCAAACAGTTTATGTTAAATACACCTTTTGATTTACCTTTGAAATGCGACCCTCTGAAATTTCACTCCATTTTGCAGTCTAAAATGCTCAGCCCACATTTATCATTCTGATGTCTTTGATCTACTAAAATACTATCTGCTCAGTTGATTTACAGTACGAGTCCTACTATTAAAAAAGCATATGTCTCAATAGCTTTAACTACTAACAAAATAAAGATGGCACACTTTTACACTGTTGTGCAAACGCTGACTCAGATGTGTGTGCAACAACAATGATGTTACCTTGAGTGCTGCTGTCCCTGCGTACTGTCTGCTGATGGTGTCTCCATTATTGGCCCACATGATCTGATAAATCCTGTAGCATTTGAGAGGCAGGGGCTGCTCTGGAGGCATCACACCCAGTTTCTTCAGCTGCAGGAAGAAATTAAGACATTTTTGTCCATAGGTGTGCTGTTAAAGCTGTGAGTGATGTCTCTCTTTCAGTTTACATTGCATCAGTGGAAAAGTTCAACCGAAATGTTCAGTAATCCCAGATGGATATGGTGGAGCTGCTGGATTTCTAGAAAGCTAAAAAGACTTTGGGTTTGTTGTGTTGGAGCGCACTGAAGGTCTGTACGATCATTGCTGCTTAGTGCTGAATGAATATGAAAAGTCTACCACTAGTGTGTGTGATCTAATGAGCAAATATACGCAGATGTCTGTTAGTTCATAGGCTGTTTACTTTGTGTTTGTACAACAGATTACTGAGACAAGGATTCATGTTGCCAAGTCAATCTGGTGAATGGTGCTTACACCTTTTTTAAAGCACGTTGCAATCCCAGTTTTAGAAAGCAGCCATCTAAATTAAGACAATGAGTGTTATGATTATCCTATATAATTACTACTGTTAGTTAACTGTTATTTATTAAATGTAACTTCTTTTAAAAATACACATCATTTGATTTGATTTGACATCAAAGATGTTAAATGCATTATGCATATATTTCCTAAATAACCGATTATTGCAATTCCTTTCATAATTGATGGGTGGACACTAAGGAAGCAGTTCAGTTTAATTCAGTTCAATTTAGCTGGAAACAAGTTGGATAAGGAGCAACATAACTTTCAGGCTAAAAGGTCACTGGTACAGGAAATAGTAAAAAAAAAAATTTAGAAAGCAGCACCCACAAGGCACAGCCAACCTACATCACACAGACGTAATTAAATGTATGTTAATTGTTTTGCCTGGGCCCAGACAACAAATAGATCTCACCTGGTGTTCCATCACCACCCGAGCGATAGCAGCCTGGACTACGTTGGTCCTGTCAAGACAGTCCATACAGTTGACTCTGAAGATACCCTCCTGCTTGCAGATAACTCCGGCCTGATCCACCCTGACAAAAGAAGATTCAAAGGATACTAATCTTTAACCCGATATGATTCTTAATGTGCATTATAGCCAACTAGTAGTTCATTGTTGCTTTCTAACAAAAGAAGGTATGCCCCAGAGTCCATGTTATCAGCACTTATCTGAAAATAACAAAAATACTGGTGTGACACTTACCAGGCCCACTTCATGTCAGTGATGATATCAGAGATTGCATCAGTCAGTATTTGAACATTCTCAAACTTCATACCTCGGCTGAGAAACAGGATACAAGAAGCATAAAGTGGAAGTAAATGCATTATGGTAAAAAACTGATTTGTTACAACTACATTCATGAACAAGTTACATTACTGTGGAGCAGTGTTTCTCTTACCAGTGCTCATGGAAGTCAAATGAAACGTATGTGAGGTTTGGGTTGTTGTAAAGCAGGACTTGCTTCAAAAATGCGTCACCAATTATCTTCTCTCGTCCACTTTGATCCACTAAGTTAATGATGACCTGAAGAAGACAAAGAGTGTTGTCAATCAGCCTTGTGTATAACATTTATGCCCCTCTATGGAAACACACTGAGAAGCTGGAGGAAAGACAACTAAATTGGCACTTTTAGTAGCAGCTTGTCACATGGACATGGTTGATGAAGTGAAAATCTTTAAAAAGACCAAAAAAACATGACTGCTAGATACTCGCATCCTCAACAGTGTAGGGTTTGATCAACATGGAGGCTTCAATGTAATCACGATATGAAATCATAAAGCATTTCACTTGTGTTTCCTCATAACCTCTCAGCTGCTGAACAGGCATTAAGGTGGATTTCACTGGGGTGCCGCAGTAGCTCACCAGGTATCATGGTACCACATATCAAGGTGTTTGTGTTCGGCACAGGCCCTTTGCTACACGTCTTCCCCTCTCTCACCCCTGACTTTCCCGTCTCTTTCTCTTTACTGTCTCTGTCTCTAAAGCAGAAATGCCAAAAAAATAATCTTTTTAAAAAAGGTGGATTTCACTGTTCAATATTAAATTGTTATCTCTGTGTTGTCTCCTATGTTGCCACAGATTAGACATTTTATTTCATCGTTTCATTCACTGCTTTATCTGATATGCACTGGTCGTCAATTGTCTGTTGCTGTATAAACGGTTCCTTTTTTTACCCCTGTAACTTACTTCAACTTATTGGTGTTATGTTGCCTCTGAAATTCTGATTAACTACATTTTCCCCAAACTGAGCTAAACTTTACTGCTGCTGTTACCTTACATAGTTACTACAGCATCAACAATTTTATTAAAAAGGTACAATGTGTAAGATTTGAATGTGAAGATCTAACAGTTCTGATGTTGTGTCAAAGACATCTATGTATGAAGTTAGCATGCTAACCAGCTAGCCCTGGGCTGTCCTGTCTGGTAATACCAGTTTGTGCCTGGAGAGGCGGACTGTCGCCTCCAGATAGTGTGCTCAGGTCTCCCCTAGTTTCAGCTTGGGGATGTGTGCAAGCAGCAAGTTTGCTATGTTACAACAGCTCTCTTAGTTGTTTTAGTCTAATTAATAAACAAAATAAACTCACAAAATGTAAAAAAACAAAACAACAACCAATTCATACACCCATATTCCTTATCAAACAGAAAAATATTATGGCTCTACATGCTGTCGCTGCCTTTCTGATGCCCGAACACCCTTTTGCTTAGTTAGCTGCACAGCTAACTGAGCTAACTAGAGAACGGCAGTTGGCAGCAGTTATGGCCTAGTATGTGATATGATGCACACTATTTTTTGTATGAATTGGACAGGTGGAGAGTAGACTCAATTCTTACACATGGTACCTTTAAACACAATCTTAAAAATTTGCCTAAATACATCTTCAAAATGACTTATACTGTAAGTATACTTAAAGATGACACCAGAGGGGTCCCGAAAAAAAATGTCACCAACTCTAATTCACAAGCTCAGTCGGTAGGCAGAATGACCAAGGTGGGGATACATACACAATAAAGATCCTAACATGCAAGTACTTAATAACTATGCTAAGCAGATACCCAAGCACACAATATGGCAGAACAAACCCACCTGCTTCTTGTAGAGTTTAAGCTGTTCTTCAAAGTGCTCAGAAAAGTAAGACATTGTCTCCTTTTCTCCTGAAACATCAGAAAAATATGCATCGAAATGATTTCCATATAACTGAATCTGAATCTTTACATCATTGTAACTTTGGAGACAGAAGTGCTCTTTCCTATAGAAAGTTTTTAAGTCCCCTGACGATACAATAAATTCCCCATATTCAATCCAATTACCGTTTTATTTTTATTTTTTTAACAGTGGAGCAAGGACCAATGGCTGACAAGATGCCTATATTTTATTAAGACATAGCTCAAATATACTAGACAGATGTGTGAAACCTAGAGAGAACACTGGTACTGAATACAATGGCTTTTTTAAAGATACAACTATAAAACAAAACTAAGCTCAGCACTGTATGCAAGATAATGTAGTTCTACTGACCTTTCTCTAAGCGTGGCCGAGGGTTGTAGCGGTACCCCGCCTGGCTCCAGAAGACAGGCACGGAGCCACGAGTCTGCACAAAGGACAGAGTGTGGCTGTGCACATGGATCAACTGCTCTGTCTCCACATAGTTAGCCACACACCCATCGGTATCCACTCCTCTTCGTTTGTACCGCATCCCTTTGGGCAAGGAGAATACTTTAACACTATTCAGATTATTTATATCACAGATCATGCTTCACTTGAAGAGAATAAAAACTCAATTCAAAGAATTTGGTGAAAGAAACCCTATTTGGATGTGGTGTAAAACACTGTCCTAATTACATAATATGACCCATATATTTCGGCTGAATCAGATTTCAGGAATGACCGTCCTCTAGGCCAAGCTAAGCTCTACCTGCGCGGTGGCGGCTGCGTCTGGAGATCAGGGCCACAGTGAAGCGGGGATGGATGTCATCAACACAGGTGACCTCCTGTGGTGGGGTCTCAGGGCTGCTCCTCTCCTCATCGGACATATCATTGTAGTTCACCACCAGTTCCTCCACCTGTACAAAGCCCTGGATGATTGGTATCACCCAGAAGTCGACATCTGGCACCTGGAGTAACAGCAGGACAAGGAGATTAAAATGCTGTTTGAAAGGTTGATAAGGAGCCAGTTTGCATCCACCAAGAATCCACAGAAGATAATCTTTCATAACTAAGAGTTGTTATCACTTCTCTTCCAGGAGTATTTTCATACTCTTCTGATAAAGCTCTTTTATCAGCACGTACAACTGCTATGCTTACACAAGGCCAGCAATTGTAAAGAAAACCACTATGACTATGTCGGCAATAGTCAGTGACTTGAATCTGGGGACAAAGTGCATTTATTCAATTCTAAAATGAGAGAAACAAACACCAAGTAGTGCACCTTAATATTTCTGTGTGGAAAATAACATTTACCTGAAGGTCAATAAGGTCTTGGATCATGTGTTTATTCCAGAAGAAACGGTCATCCACCTTACACAAACAATAAAAATTACAATTAATCAAACATAAGGGTTTTTGCGATACAAATATGTCAACGAAAAAATAAGGCACCAAGCCCAGTGAGTTGTGAGATACATTTCTGTCCAAACCTGTTTCCATAACGGTAAGCTGGACTTCTCCGAGTCTCCCTGACGCTGGACACTGTTTGTCAGGTCATAGGTCATGCTGTAGTAGAAGGAGTCCGAGTCCATGAATATCTTGTACAGTTCATCCAGCAGCCGCCTCTCCAGACGTTCCTTCTCTTTGTTTTCCTTGACCTGGAAGGCAGGGGAATACTGGATTGGGCAAGTGGATAGAAAAGAGCGATAAGACGACAAAGCAAAGAAAGAAAAATCCTTTGAGAACTTCAAAGCCTTTCAAAGTGCAAAAGATGGGAAAAGTAGTGTTGGTTTGAGCATGACAGAACACATATTTGTAAGTGTACAATAAAAAAATACCTTTTTCTTGATGGGCACAGCAACGTTAGATTTGATCTGACTAAATGTTTTCATCAAGAACTTTGACTCATCGGGAGACTGGGCCAGTTTTTCTGGTTTGTCGATTCCAAAGTGATGCTTCTTGCAAAGCTGGAAAAGAGGATCAAATGAACGCAAGTTTACAAATCTCATAAACATGATACTTAGAAAGTCAACAAAATGGTAAATTTGGTGATATTATAGCTGAATTTGGTACCATCTTGAATTTCTCAAAACAAAATGTTTATTGCAAGCCACTACAAACAAACCAAACACAATACAGTACTCTGTATAGTTCATATTATTCTAAACTAACGCAGTAAAAGATCTAATATCTACATTGATCTATAGGATTTCTAGGCACAAAAGGAATGATCATTCTGCAGTACAAGGACAATGTACAATACAACGGGGTCTAAAAGCCTATCCAGGAACGATCATTCTCCTTTTTATTTACTCACTTGAAAATATTCTGTCTCACCATCCATGAAGCTCCCCTGAAAGACTGAAATCTTAGCAATATTCAACTTGCTCTGAGATCTATTACAGTGATTTTATGTCTGCATTTGATTTTCATTCTACATGTGTGGGTAAAAATTTAAATCACATGCTGACGCACACAGGGTATTCTTGGGTACATTAATAACAATTTAGGATTCTCACAAGCACTCAAACGTTATAATAATTGTCAGGGGGACTGAATGCAAGTACATGATCACTGCTTCTCATGTCTCATTACAATATAAGTATACACACCTCCAGCTCAAGCTCCTGAGGCTCTTCTTCAGAAAGAGGAATGACAGCTATCTTGGTGATCTTGTAGACTTTGTGATTGCCTGGTAAATGGCCCACCAGTGCTTTCTGACGGATTAATACGAGGCCGAGAGGAAGATCTGTCAGGAGGAGAAAGAGGAAGGGGGGGTTGCGTCATTGGTGCAGAATTCCTCACATTCTGGGAGGTGTGAAGAAAGCAGCTGCACACCAGCCATTATCTGCAGATTTCTTTAATAAGGTAACACAAGACATCTGTTAAATAAATAATTAATAATCTGAATTTCTAAAATACTATAATTGTTCATATATTTTCTTTCTTATGAAAGGGTATAATGTTTAATCTTTAACTTCTTACCCATCAGGGCACGCAAAAATCACAAACAAAAATCAGATTTATCACCAATTTAAACATCACCATCAGCTCACTCCTCTTCATAACTACACACATTTCAAGTACTTTTACACATTTTTTCACACCTTTCCTTTTGAGTAAGAAACATACTAAGTGTCAAGTGTCTAGTGCACACAGACGGAAAATACTGGCAAGCAAAGAAAAAAAAAAACTCAGTGTGAAATGTTCAAACGTTTTTCTCCACTTACCTGTGTGAAGCTGTATCTTTCCAATGACACCTTCTACCAAACCCAAACACACTGGATTCCAAGCTAATAACAGGTCTGTTGCTGAAATAAAAATATGGAAATGAGACATCAAAACAGTGGTGTAGCAAGCTACGCTTTAGGCCAGATAAGCAGCCAGGGTCAAAATGTACATATGCATATATGTTTTTCTTGAGGCCTCAAGTTATCCCTTAAAAAGGTTTCAGCGTGTGCATCTTTTCTGTTAGCTATATCTAAATATTGACAATAGGAGCTTAACCTGTGTGTTAACCAAATAGAAAGTACCTCAAAACAGTCCTGTTTGTATGAGTTCCTGTTACTATGCTTAAACTTGTTTTTAATACCCAGTAGACGTTGTTAACCTTAAATGCTTGGTCGACTAAGTTGCAGCTGGGTTAAATGCAGTAACAGCCCATAGATAGAGGGATCTCCACAAATCTGTATGAAAAGTAAAGCTATTAAACAGAGAACAAGATAGTATCAATTTATTTTTAAAAATAGCCTGTCTCCATTTACTTACATTTTCAAACACCAGACCAAGTAGGAAGTCAGTTATGGTAATGCACAAACTCAGTGACTAAACTGCAATGCTTATGAATGGCTGCAGATTAAATATCAAAGAGGTGAAGTTTGGGAAAAAGTGAAGGGTGTGGCAAAGGGTGGAGGTGCCTCAGACAATGACTCTTCCTGTCTCACCAGCCAGAGAATATAACGTACAGGGAAACTGGCTAGGAAGGTCCCACAGGAGCAGTCTCACAGAAAAAAGGACCATAAAAACAAAAAGAAAACACCATACCACAAGTTCACTCGGAATGCATAATATCATGGAAATACTTCACTTTGTGCTTGAGAGTGGAGTGGAAACCAAATGAGTAGTGGAAACCTTTTTTCCAATTAAATAATGAAACAGTGGTGCAACTAAAACCCTGTTCTGGATGGCTGCACAGCCATACACCTTCAACTGACACAGGGGATACCATGCACAGCCCTATGGTGACTCTAATGAAACTTTTATTTCAGTTCAGCAGTTATTTCGCTTTCGCCAACTATGAATAAATAGTTCCCACAACCGGTATATATCATGTAGTAGAAAGCATGACACATTTTTGTCACAACCACCACCAACACTAGTTCTCACTTCTGCAGTGTGGCCAAGGTATACTACCAGGAGCTGTCATATGCTAGGCACGTCGTATACAAGCTTAAATTATGTTATATTTACAGTCTTTCATTCCTGTACTGTGTCTGTTTGGTCTAAAGAAGAACTGAAGAGTCAAATTTAGGTTTCAGTCTGTAACATAAGAAGCAAAGCAAGAACTTTGGAGTCTGTTTGAAGTGTGTTTGGGGTGTTGGCACTCCCGGACTGAAAACTAGGACGATGATTTCAAGATTTGGGAATGGCGCATTCAACAATGTCAATCTTTCCTTTATCAAACCCCTTGTTTTGTCGCAGCTGGTTAATTCACAACGATTACATGATTATGATCACGGTAATTTTACAGATGAACGAGTGATAATTAAGAGTGACAGATTAGACTAAACCCCTGAGGGGGTACATAGTGAACATCCAATATCAGTACAATAGGGTTTGTCAACTCCAAACAGGGCGAGAACAACAAAGCTTTTATTTGACTCCAATAGGACATAATGTCAAACGTTAGCTTCGGATAAATGGTCGGCTTGTCATCCAATAACGTTACGTACCAGGTCTGACTGTAATGGTCCCGTCTTTTCGGCTGCACCACAGAGCACGGTCCCCACTTTGAAGAATGTACTCGTCTTTGGCTTGGAATAGCTCCATTTTGTCCCTTTACGTTACACCAAACAGGCAACTAGCTGGCTAAGCAGCCAGGTACAGGTAATTATCAACTTCCACGTCTTGGAGGTTGGCTGTAGCTAGCCAGACGGCGACTGGCTAGCTAACGTTACACGGTTAGCTCGTTCCCCACAGGCTGGTGAGCTACGGGAGCTAGCGAGCTAGCGACAGCGGCGGCAGCAGCTGGATGAGTGTCGTCCTTGTTTATTCCACTTCTACGCATGCTGATAATCAAATTACCTTTCCACGGGAGAAGCAGCCCTTCCCACCGTCATGCTGGACGCAGTAATGCCAAATACACACTAATGAGTGAGAGAGTGTACCAGCAGCCCGTTCAAGATGTAACCGAGTTTCCTGCTCTAAACAATAACACGTGATCTGTGCCGTCGTCACTGGTGTACAGGTAGGCCCACTGTACACAAAAACTATTCACATGATTTAATAACGGATTGCCCTAATCAATAACTATATGGTTAATTAATTATATGATGTTATAATATTTTGAGATAACCATATGTTGATAACGAGACTACCCATTCTGATGAAAGTGTGTGTGACTTTATTTTATTACTTTATATATTGCCTTCATTTGTCTTTCTGTTTTTAAATATGATAGTCCTACTTATATTTCAAGGAAAGCAAAACATTACAGCTACAGCACCTCTTGTTCAGTGACAGCAAGGTGAATGCAAGTTGAATCTGAGGAGGGATGGGGGTTTTTAAATTAGGGGATTTATGTATTAAACAATCATCTGACATAAGTATTTCAGTCTATATTCTAATGTTACAGGCTAGGGTCATTTGTATATAAAACACACCACTTACACTTACACTTTTTTAGTGTCCCCACCTAACTAGGAATAAGGGGAAAAAATGTTGTCAATTATGACTCAGTGGGGCTCTGAGGGAAAAGAGGAGGAGCAGCTGACCTCAGACGGAGACATAATCTTACCAATGAACGCTCTGCAGTGGAAAGCTAAGCCAGACTTAAGACAGCTGAAGACGGGCCTCAGGGACACATCTTGAAATCCACAAGTGGAGCATACACATACTCCTACATTATTAAAATCTGGGTTATTTTGTCAGGGAGTAAACATGGTCAACCTTAAATTCAATATTAGGTATACCGTCTATACATAATTAAAGTACTATCCCTAGTACTCTAAAAAAAAAAAAAAAAAAAAGAATCTCAGATTTAGTAGAATCAATGGGAACCCAAATATTAGTCACAATCCATGTCAAATACATTTTATTTTTTAACAATACCAACGTGACTTGCTTTCAACAATGCATCGGCCTGCTACTCATAAACTGTGATCAACACTAAGCCACAATCTATAAGGTGTGTTAGGCAGTGACCCCACCTGACAGATGGCTTATGATCGCATTATAGAGATAAATCACTACACAAACAATTACGATCATCTCAAAAGTAATTTTGAA